TAAGCTTTCATCTATGAAGAATATTTACATAAGAAGAAATATTCAAGAACAGATGATAAATATCCACATATGGTAATTAAATGTTTGGCAAATTTCTAAAACAATTCTGAATTCTTAAATTTATGGTTAAAATATGCTTCAATACTTCCAATTTTTTACTGTAAGTATATCAAATTATTGTGTCAAGCCAGTCTACATATTCATAAAATCTTGCGAGATATCTTTAATGTTGAAACCTCAGACTTAAAATCATCAAATTTACCTTTGAAATATTGAAAATCCAAAAAAAATATCAATAAAAAATTATAATTGAATACAAAACAGGCCTCTTACACAAATGTAGCAAGGAAATAGATAAACACAACATGTATTCAATATTTAGATTTCTTTACCAAATTTACCTAAAATTTCAAAATTAAAATAGTTTAAATAAATATTATATATTAAGGCCAATGAAAAATAAGTACCGACTGATAACAGTAATAAATGTGATATTACAGTAATAAATGTGATATTACAGTAATAAATGTGATATTACAGTAATAAATGTGATATTACAGTAATAAATGTGATATTACAGTAATAACCTTGATATTACAGTAATAAATGTGATATTACAGTAATAAACTTGATATTACAGTAATAAACTTGATATTACAGTAATAAATGTAATATTACAGTAATAAATATGATATTACAGTAATAAATGTGATATTACAGTAATAAATGTGATATTACAATAATAAATGTGATATTACAGTAATAAATGTGATATTCAGTGTGAGATATGAATTATATTGATCAAGGATTATCTTTACTCTAGTTATCCCTGAGTCACTTATGTGATACCTGCATTTATAACATAACCTGTATGTGCCTGCCTCAACATTACCTATACATAATGTATCAATACTTTCATGATTAAAATATTTATATATTATATATATTATATATCATATAATGTGCTTCCTTATAAAATATGTGTATAATAAATACAACCATTAAACAATATTTCCTGTAGTGCCTTTTTAAAGGTGTCAAGATGCAAATATGACTGCAGCTCAACAAACCTAAAGAACATTTTACAACAGCGTTGCCATGGATATCTGTAAACATGCTCACAGCGACTTTCATCATACAAATATTTCAATGCATAATCAAATTACAAATTACTTTTCAAAAATAATCATATACTAGTTAGTATAAGTCAATTTAGTAATGCCTTTTTTATAAATATTTTAAGACGTGGTTGATTGGTAGCATTATAATATAACTTTCTTTTAATTGCTAAAAAGTCTTTCTCCATTGATGTCATGTACACATTTTTTCAAAGTTACTCTCAATACACAAGAACATATACATTTAAAGGGAATATTCTACTCTATAATAATCATCCCTGATGTATTCTGCACATTATTTTTTATTATATATATTTAACTAGAAATTTTGATGCAAAATAGCCTCAAAGATTAAGAACAAAATTAAACAGATTATAAAAATGTCAGTGTACATTCAGTGAATCTTTTAAAACAGAACTTGTATGAAAGGCATATACATTTCAAATACACTTTTGCATGTTACATAATTGAAAAAAAAAACATATAGGTAATTGTGATTTATTTATTTTAAAAAAAAGTCTTTTAATTTCTGTTTTACTATAAATAATAATCAATATAACTAACAGAGCAATGACAAATCCCAACTATTAACACATGTAAACATTATGCCGTTTTCTTTAAAAAAATCAATTAAACAGTGTAATAGTCCCTAACACGTGTTGACACTTAAAAAAAAAATCAATACAACTAGAAAGACACTGACTAGAGAGAAGAAGACAATACACTGGGGTGTAATGAGCACAGATATGTTTCAGAAACAGATATGAGAAAACATGAAATCTTATCATATAAACTTTACACAGTTTGTGTTTTAACATAAATTATTGTGACAAAATAACATGTGGAAAACACACTGTGTAATGTCAATTTTATGCCAGCACAAGTGTTTCAAGATAAATACACATATAACTCAAGTAAAAAGTAGTTTGTTGTAATTGTAATTGTCAAGTGCAAACATTTTTTCTTACAATTTATTAGAAGAAGATTTTAAATCATTATTGAAATGCATTTCTTTAACAACAAAACTGTTCTGACATAAAGAAAGTAATATTTTAGCAGTAACGTGAATTATATTATCTGTGAAAACCAGGTGGCCTCTGTTAAGTTTTTCATGTCAATATTAGAATATTTGTTATCTTTTAGCAATACTAATATGTTCTCTTTAACAACAATATTTTTTTTACAATGGAAGTCCATTTATAAGCACTGTTTTATTTATATGGCATGAGCAATGGTTGAGTGTTAATTGCATGAACCATGGCAGACTGTTGTATGTAAAAACCATGACAGATTGTTGTATATACAAACCATGGTACACACTAGACAGTGAGACTGTTGCATGTACAACCATGGCAGACTATTGTACATGTACACATAAACCATGGCAGACTGTCATTTGCATGAACCATGGCAGACTATTGTATTCATAAACCATGGCAGACTATTGTATGCATGAACCATGGCAGACTATTGTATTCATGAACCATGGCAGACTATTGTATTCATGAACCATTGCAGACTGTTACATGCAAATCCATGGCAGACTGTTAAATAAATGATCCATGACAGGCGGTTTTATACATGAACCATGGCATACTCTAGTATGCATAAACCTGAATTCTTACAAAATTTAAAAACAGTTTACCATTTAAGCCCCTTCATTTATTTAATAACATGTTCCTTATATACATACACAACAAAATATGGTTTATTTAAAAAATGTTAGATATATATATATACACTATGTGCCAAAAGGGAATAAATGTACAAAATAAATACATGTCAAATTAGCCTCTTGTATTTATTTGTCTTGTAAAAAGTACAAAAAAAATATTTTACAAGATTTTTTTTTCATGGTGAAATAATGGTGCATGTGTAAATATAATAAATGAGAAATTTTGTTTAAAAAGAAACAACAACAACATTTACAAATATGAGCCGCGTCACGACAAAACCAACATAATGGGTTTGCGACCAGCATGGATCCAGACCAGCCTGCGCATCCGCGCAGTCTGATCAGGATCCATGCTGTTCTCTATCAGTTTCTCTACTTGTAATAGAGTTGGTAAGCGAACAGCATGGATCCTGATCAGACTGCGCGGATGCGCAGGCTGGTCTGGATCCATGCTGGTCGCAAACCCACTATGTTGGTTTTGTCGTGACGCGGCTCATGTGTTTTGCAAACCCAGATGAAAATAAAATAATATAATAACAAATTTTAACAAACTTTACCTGTCATAAAAAGAACAGGTAAGATAGCACACTTGGTTATTACAGGTACATGAAAAAATGAGGTCATTAACATCCCGTGTTTCAGTACCAATTTACACATGTACATACAAAATAAGTACACATCTTTTAACATTTTTAACTAGTGAAAATCCTAAAAATAAACCCTGTTTAAATAAAAAATCATCATTAACAGAAAAAACAACGTAACACTATAATTCTCACCTGAATGAATTTATCTTTTGTTCTAAAACATATCTAACTTTTGTCATACAAAAAAAATGCAAATTAATAATTTCATGTAAAACTAGCACAAAAGTCTGAAGTTCGTAAAAACAAATCATCTCCATTGTTTTCAATTTTATGTTCTTAAAGTCTAAATTAAAGCTGCATGCCTCTAGATTAGCCAAGATATTTCAAGAAAATCAAACTTGAGACAAATGTACTGAGATTGTAAGAAAGGTAAAAAGATCCAATATATAAGTAATAATTTACATGTTATTTGCAATTTAAAACCAATTATGCAGCATTTTTCACCATATTTCTACAGCGTTGCTAACAAAGTAAAGGCTATTTTTGCATATTTTACCCTATCTTTGGTAATTTACATTGGTTATCAGTGCTGTTTGCAATGTGTAAATTATTTTTTTTTGTTTACTTAACAATATTTTACTTTTTTATACATTTTCAAATGTTTTCATGAAAATAAGCATGAATCTGGAGGCATGCTGCTTTAAAACTGTTTATTTTGTACACCATCAAGAACATTATTATGATAATCTAAATAATAAGAATGTTTAAAAAAGCTTATATAGCTGATGTGACTCACCAGATCCATAGTTTAAATAATGAAAAAAAAACAGCTCTTATGTGTCTATGAAAATACAATATAAACTTAACATAAAAATAGAGAGAGAAAAAGAAAAGTTTTAACTGATTGTACAAAATTTTGATTGAAAAAAAAGGACAAAAATCAACATAAATATTGATTTGTAAAACAAATTGACAACATAGGCAGTAAACAACAAAACAAAATGAAAATTACATTAACTACAACATAATAATAACTTTTAAAATTATCTTGTTACAAAACATAATGTTTCTAAACATGCAGGTACTTTTTGTGGTTTTTCAAGTACATAAAGTAACAACATTTCTCATTGGTCAATTAAATCTTACATAAAGAATCAGCTAATCAGATTTTCGCTTCAGATAATTCAAAATTATCATTCAGCCAATTAGGTTTTAGATTTCAAATGAAAATCAGCCAATCACAGGCGATATAACATAATACAGTAAAGGATGTTCCTTGTTATTTAACATTTTTTACTGAAGCAAGAAATTGTCTCCATATTAATAGGTAATCTTAAACAAAGCAAATACTCAATTTTCGTAGTAATGCCCTTAATAAATGTCTCATTTACAGAAAACATTCCAAATGACAATTATGTTTTTTTTTCATTTCTGATTTTAAACCAATATATTTCCTTATGAAAGTTCATCTGACCACAGTTTTAAGAAGCCAGAAGGCAAAATGTATTTTCTTTTATCTTTATATAAGAGTTGTCCTCTTTCTTCAGAAACCAAGATAAAAAACTAAGAAAAGAAAAAAAAAAACCTAAATCAAGTAAATAAATCTGATAAAAAAAACCAAAACAACACTTCAATGCTTGTACATGATAATCTGTATAAAATATGTTTGGTTCTTAACTTGGTGAAAACATCGTTCTGAGGTACGTTCCTATAGTGCTGAGGTAAAGTTGTATCATTGGTGCTATATTTAGAACATAAATAAAATGATTATTCCATACATCGCATCCATAGTAACAATCCTTGAAACCTAATCAAGTAATCAATTAATAAAGAAAAAATAACGCTTATTAGACATGTGGGTTTTTTTTTCATGCCAACCAAACTGATACCCTTTTTATACAAATTCTCTGAACGAAGGTTTCATCATTTGAGGTAAAGTTATATGAGATTACAAGAATAATGTACACATTTTGTCAGAACTATTTCATTATTTGCAAGATACCAGTATATAGCACTGGAGATAATTTACAATGGTATTTTATACCACTGGTTTATGTTCAAGGGACTCCAATGACGTTTTTTTGACTTCAAAGGAAAGGAAATATTTGACCGAGATTTGTGTACTTTTTAATGCAAATCTTAACCAATAACTTAAATTTCACCCTACCCTGTATTTTCCAGAATAATCATTTTTATTGTGTAAAATGACCCAAAACTTTTCATTCTATCAGGCTGACAATTGCACCTATTAGTTTCTAATTTAATGCCAACTATTTTTCTTTAATATTATCCTTTGCAGATTTGTCCATTTTAACTGTCACTTGATTTATGTAATATTCAGGCAGGATAATAATATTATCTTGAAAATTTTTCCTAAAACTATAAAAGGTTTCGACCAGACTGTAAGTCAGACAAGTCCATTTAAGATATTTAGGGGAGTTTATTCATTTCATTTTGAAAAGATCCAAAACTTCATGTTTATCAATCTGTGTATGATTTGTGTAGTTCATTTAAGTGAAGAATAACTAATTATGTTTATCTAAAGTTACAATTGTGATTTTTTTAGGAGTTGTCTCCCTTCAAATATAAATATTAGCAATGGTGACATAAAAAAGTATGTTTATGATTTATGAGGGAAACACAGTTATATTGAGGTAAAAATTTGTGGTTAAAAATATTTTGAATCATTTACAAATAATATAACAGTTAAATATCTATTATTTATACATGTATTAGTTTTTTTTCTCAAAGTTAAACATACATGTATTTTATGGGATTATTATTTTTATTTTTGATGAGTTATTAAGCCTCTCTTTTACTCATCTTCAACCCCTTACCATGCTAAATATCTTAAATGGACTTGTCCATCTTTCAATCTGGATAAAACCATTCATCATTTTTAGGGTAATATTTTAAAACAAGTACTGACTGAGCAGTAAACAGTGCAGACCATAATCACACAGATATGCCCGTTGATCTTGGCCTGCACTGGTTCAAATGCCTTAATATATCTATTTCTTTCACAAACTTGTTATTTTCTTAAAATTAATTTCTTTTGAAAACAAATCTTAAAGACCATAAAAGTATCTGAATCATTTATACAGGCATGATATTATTTATAAAAACATCATGAACATGAAATCTTCACTAAGGAATATTATGCATGATTTAATAACAACAACATAAACATCAACAAAATAAGGAAGGACATTATTAAAATGGTTCTTCCCTCCCAAAAAATCATCTTGTCTATTTCTCAATCTGGACAAAACCCTTAATAATTTTTTTGGGGAAAGATAAAAGAACCCCTGACTGAATGGGGAACAGTGCAGACCATGATCAGATGGCACAAATGTTCTGGCTAATCTTGGTCTGCACTGGTCGCATGGGTAGAATCTGTTGCTGCCAGCAGGCTTTGGGTTAAGATGATATTAAACGAAGAACCGTCAAGTGAAAACATTATATACTCTGAATATATATTGAAATCTATTTTAATATCCTAATCTAAAACAAGAACAAAATATTGTGTAAAGGTTTCCAATTTAAGATATTGACAAAACCTACATTATTATAATGAGACAAAATATATGCTATTTTTAGAATTAAGCTAGTAGGCTATTTATAGAATGACGTCATGATGCTATTTTTAGAATGATACTAAGCAGCAAATGAAACAACATTTTTATGATGAAAGCTCCCTGGCAGTATAACTTATGATAGAGGAAACACATTTAATGATTTAGATTTCCACCCCTACAACCTTTATAATAGAATATTCTTCCATACAGTACTGGATTAATCTATTTCAGATTGCAGGGTTGTCAGGTATGAATTTTAGTGAAAAATGTTTCTATGACACAACAAATAAGTTTACCCTTCACAAAAGCTGAGCATTAATTCTGAAGACAAAAAAAATGACGAACAAAAACTCTATCCTGCCCTTAAATTTGAGATGAGATCCTAGAACAGACCACTTTTACTCCTAGTCTTTTACACTTTGCGAACATGACAACATTTTTCTTAAAGAAATGACTAAAAAAAGTATAACAAGATCATTAACAGCAACCAATAAAATAAACAAATTCTTATGCTACAATGCATTCTAGATGCCTTATTTAGCAATGTCTAAATAGTCCATAAAAATAGCAAAACCTATTCTTATAATATTACAAAGTCATTTGAACTAACATTTACATATCTTTTTTATAAACATTATAATGAAAAGAACAAAATTAAGTTAGAAAAAAAAGCCTATATCTCATTTAACTCCCTTTAGAAAGGAGAAATGGTAATAAAAGGGAGACAACTATGTCATGGAATGTGAAACTGCTACCATATTGTTACTAGAGAGGTATGAAGAATGAATATTTTGATCTAATAATCGATTTTCTACTGGTGATTCTCTCTGACACTGGGGCGATCTATTAGCTGAATAATCATCAGTCTCTCTGCCATTTTCTATCACATTATCTGCCTCTTGTTTCTCAAATCCATTATCTTTTGGTTCCATTTTCATATTCAGAGCTTCTGATTGGGTAGTTTGAGGACTAATTTGCATATCTAGGCCAGCTTGATTAGTAGCAGACTCTTCATTTTGTCTAGAATAATGTTCTTGATGGTGCACAAAATGTTCATCAGAAGAACCATTGCCGTATCTTCCGTTTGTAGATTCAGACACAGATGGTTCCTGAGACTGTAGCCGAGATTGTTCGCTTGCGCGACTGTACACCAGGCTGTTAAACTGCCCCCTAGGACTACTCTGACTAGATTTCGGACTGAGATCTAGGCCTTGACTGCTGTAATCGTGAGGTGAGCTGTTTGAATCATCCTGATACATCAGGGAGTCTGGTCTCATAAACATCATATCATCTCTGTAATACAGATATAGTCTCATTTATTAACCAATCAGATTCCTTATGCTAATCAAACAGTAATACAAATATAGTCTCGTTTATTAAACAGATTACAAATGCTTATAGAAAGATTTGAAAGAATATAGTTTTGCAACAAATTTGTAAAGAAATATGAAGAATTTCTATTCAAGCTTTACAGATAAAATATATTAAGACTAAAAGTGCAAATTGAAACTGGGACATAATGGTAAAGGTGTCTGTCTTTCAACCCGGGGATCTAGGATCCGGGACCTACTGGGTACAGAACTGTGTTTCCTCTTATCACCCCAGTATTGATAAGTTCAAGGAAGCGACTCTAAAGCAATTCAAAATGCACTTCATCACAAACAAGCTTAAATAATCATGTTAAAGCTAAAAGTACAATTTTTTTATCTGTCACTTTGCGACTTAAAAGATTTCAATTTGAAAATGCAACGGGCAGGAACTCCAAAAAAAGTGTCTGATCACTCTGTGTATTATTATTCATCTGGGCATGACTATACCACTGGCATTGGCATGTCAATAATATTTCCATCAGTAACCAACCAGTTTACTTTACTATTGTATTAGTAATAAATTAAATCAGTCAGGTTAAAGGTTTCAAACAAGCTGTCAGTAAAGCAAACATATGTCATCGCCAACAATAAGTAAGGCAAAAACAATATACTGAACTTTTGACATAAAAAATAAATATGACTAAACAGCTTGATACAATGGTGGTGTGAGAATAGTTCAAAATATGTTTATTGTAAATTGTACTTTTGACATAAAAGTTAACATACAAATATTGAAAAAATATATTTTCTTATTAAAAAATTTCAAGACATGAATTATTAATAAATTTGAAACTATTTCATATGACAGATTCTTATTTCATGAGACTATTTCATATAACTCAACATCAAGGGGACTCTGATTCAAGATTTTTTATTCTTCATATAACTCAGCAGTGCAGTAAATCTGATTTAATGAGACTATTTCATGTATATTAGTATTTAGGGAACTCTGATATAAAATACTATTTCATTTAACAGACCTTTAAGGGGACTGATTTAAGAAACTTATCTTTGAGGGAACTCTGATTTATAGGACATAATTTCATATAACTCATCTTTGAGGGAACTCTGATCCAAAGGATATCATGTCATACAACTCACCTTTGAGGGAGCTCTGATTTAAAGGACATCATTTCATATAACTCACCTTTGAGGTAGCCCCAAATTAAAGAACTTTATTTCATATAACTCACCTTTGAGGGAACTCTGAATTAAAGGACATTATCTCATATAACTCACCATTGAGGGGACTCTGAATTAAAGGAAATAATTTCATATAACTCATCTTTGAGGGAACTCTGATTCAAAGGATATCATGTCATACAACTCACCTTTGAGATAGCCCCAAATTAAAGAACTTTATTTCATATAACTCACCTTTGAGGTAGCCCAAAATTAAAGAACTTTATTTCATATAACTCACATTTGAGGGAACTCTGAATTAAAGGACATAATTTCATATAACTCATCTTTGAGGGAACTCTGAATTAAAGAACATAATTTCTTATAACTCACATTTGAGGAAACTCTGAATTAAAGGACATAATATTATATAACTCACCTTTGAGGGGACTCTGAATTCAAGGACATTATTTCATATAACTCATCTTTGAGGGAACTCTGATTTAAAGGACATTATTTCATATAACTCACCTTTGAGGGAACTCTGAATTAAAGGACATTATTTCATATAACTCACCTTTGAGGGAACTCTGAATTAAAGGACTTTATGTCATATAACTCACCTTTGAGGTAGCCTTAAATTAAAGGACATTATTTCATATAACTCACCTTTGAGGGGACTCAGATTTAATGAAACTATCATTACTATTGTTGTGACTCTTCATTGACAGATCTTCCACACCTTCTGTCATGCTTCCATTACTCATCTGATGATTCAACATCATGGAAGTCTGCTCCATAGCAACCTGTAAATGTCAAGGTCATAATTGCAAGGTCAGATCATTAAAGGTCAAATAATAAGAGTCAAACAAACGAATGAATTTTTGTCATAATGTTTCAAGGCACATATAATACACATACAGTATAATAGTAATTTGAAATATATAACTTTAAAGATTAAGATAAAGAGTAAAACTTACCCTTATACTAGCATTGATAGGATCACCATAGATACCACCCTCAGAGCCAAATGACGGACTGCTTGGTATGGCCCTGTGAATATATCAATGAAATGTTTAAGTACATAGATTTAATGCCTTATTCTATTTAGAAACAACTTAATTAGCAATCCAAAAACTGTATCATTATTCAGTCAGATAAAAAAGTCAGATTAAGAGAATTTATTCCATGTCTCATGCAATACAATACCAATTTAACAATATTTTTCAACATCCATTAAAGAGGCATTCATTAAATATCATATCCTGGGACAAAACAGTAAATTTAAGAAATTTTTTTCAGTCATGAATTTGATTATATCTTGAAAATCAGTAAGTTACATCAGAAATTTTTTTTCTTCTTTTTTCTTTTTTTTTATATCAATTTTCACATTGTATATAATTATGCTTTTAGCAAGGGCTATAGGCCTTAAAGTGTAATAAAGTATTGTTCATTCATTTCAACAAACTTTATGCTGATTAAAAAGTGTGCTTTTAAATTATAAAATGCTAAAACATGCATATTCATAAGTTATTGTAAATAATCATTCATCTGCTGCACTCCTTTATTTACATAAACGTCAATAATTTTCTATTAATGAAACAGTTTTTGTTTTCCTTTTGAGCATATTGAGAAACTATATGATTTTTTTTTCTTTCTATTGAATGACAGAAAAGTAAATTAACATATTTTTTTATCAGAAATATAAATATGAATCCCATATTTTTAAAATCAAAGGTGAAAAGTAGTAATTATTTATAATGTAGCAACTGTCACCCATTTCCCTCTACATATACAAGGTTACCAGGTTACAATAAATAAACATATGTTACAATACAAAATCAATAGTAATGTAAATCTTTATACTTAAAAAATATATCATTTCTCCATTTCTATATAGAATTTAGGCAACATTAATAATATTGACTAATAACGAGCGAGGTCACCTAGTGAGACCATACTATAAAATTCATGTGTTGGGTTTATCATTCTATAAAATTTTGAGGTGTGGGGTTTTGTCTAGGACAGCGTGCTCAACTATTCTCAGTCCTTGAGCCTGAATAATACTAAATTTTCTAATTCTAAAAGGGCCATAACTCTGTAAAAATCAATGTCAGAGTTATAGGCCTTTGACAGTGACCTCCTATTACGCTCTCAAATAAGTGTGTGAAGTTTCAACTCATTCCCTTTAGTAGTATCGGAGATACCAACTTGCACAAAAAAACCAAAGTGTGATGCTGACACTAAGGCCTTGATAAGTAAATAGTTCTCCCTATTATCCGAAAAGCAGAGCTAATGAAGAATATAAATTAACCTTTAACCTCTGAATCTATATACTAGTAACTTATGGATTTTTCCTGCCTTGAAGTTTGAATTTGTAACTGATTTTTTAAATTAACCTTTTGCCTGATGAAATGGGAAGAGAATATCCCCCAGTAGAACCAGACCAGCCTGCACAACGGGTGCAATATTTGAATTCATGTACCACCTGATATCAGTCTGCAATGGTCAAATGGACAGAATCTGTTGCCACAAGCAAACTTAAGTTTTAATACTGACCCTGTAAGTTTTTGGGGTCGTCTCTTGTAAAACTCCACCTCATCTACGGTCCACACAGCACCTTTGACATTCTCTACTCGCATGAAACATTTATGCAAGCTCAGGTTGTGTCGTACAGCATTCTAAAATAAACTAGAACTATCACTAAATGTGATTAATACCCCCACAAGACTGCTTCAGAAATGAGGATGTTACTAGTAACAGAATACCTTGTAAAAGAATTAAAATATAGAGTTATGGTTGTGGGCAATAAAAGATAGTTGTGGTTCTTGTATGTTGCATTTCCTTCCAATGTAGTTGGCCATTGATGAAGTTTTATTGAATTACTCTGTAATAAGTCCAGAAAGACAAGCAAAAGAAACAAAGGGCAATAAATAACTCTATAAATACTGAAGATGGAGTTAAAGTTCTTGTGCACTGCACTTCCTCTTATTGTGCTTGACCATTGTATGAAGTTGTTTTGAATTCCAACCAGTATGTTTTAAGTTTTGCTCCGGACAATGAAAAGTATCAAAGGGCAGTAACTCTGTATTTTGTCAAAATCGAGTTATGGTTCTTGTGCACTGCACTTCCTCTCAATGTGCTTGACAATTGTATGAAGTTATATTGAATTCCAACTTTTAGTTTTCAAGTTACGCTCCGGACAAAAAAAGCAATGGAAAAGTAACAAAGGGCAATAACTCTGTAATTAGTCAAGATGGAGTTATAATTCTTGTGCACTGCACTTCCCCTTATTGTGCTTGACCATTGTATGAAGTTGTTTTTGAATTCCAACCAGTAGTTTTCAAGTCATGCTCTGGACAAGGAAAAGTAACAAAGGGCAGTAACTCTGTAATAAGTCAAGATGGAGTTATGGTTCTTGTGCACTGCACTTCCTCTCCAATGTGCTTGACAATTGTATTAAGTTATAATGAATTCCAACAATTAGTCTTCAAGCTATGGTCCGGACAAAAGAAAGGAATGGAAAAGTAACAAAGGGCAATAACTCTGTAATTACTTTAAATAGAGTTATAGTTCTTGTGCACTGCACTTCCCCTTATTGTGTTTGACAATTGTATGAAGTTGTTTTGAATTCCATCCAGTAGTTTTCAAGTTATGCCCCGACAAGGAAAATAAACAAAGGGCAATAACTCTGTAATTAGTCAAGATAGAGTTATGGTTCTTGTGCACTGCACTTCCTCTCAATGTGCTTGACCATTGTATGTAGTTATATTGAATTCCAACCATTAGTCTTCAAGTTATGCTCCGGACAAAAGAAAGGAATGGAAAAGTAACAAAGGGCAATAACTCTGTAATTACTTTAGATAGAGTTATGGTTCTTGTGCACTGCACTTCCCCTTAATTGTGTTTGACAATTGTATGAAGTTGTTTTGAATTCCAACCAGTAGTTTTCAAGTTATGCCCCGGACAAGGAAAAGTAACAAAGGGCAATAACTCTGTAATTAGTCCAGATAGAGTTATGGTTCTTGTGCACTGCACTTCCTCTCAATGTGCTAGACCATTGTGTGTAGTTATATTGAATTCCAATAATTAGTTTTCAACTTATGCTCCGGACAAGGAAAATGCAACGGACGTCTGGACCGACCGACCGACCGACCGACCAACCGACCGACCGACCACCGGGTGACTCCTATATACCCCCCCAAACTTCGTTTTTGGGGGTATAAATATACAAAAAATCAGATGAGATCTGCTCGAGTTGAAATATGATAAAAATTATAGGACTCTTTGTTAATGAAGTTTTTTTGACAAGTTATATGGTCAAATTTAAACAATTATTGGATAAAAAGGATTTTTTGACAAGTTATATGATAAAGACTCTAAAGACTTGTCAGCTTATATGGCGCTATATAACCAATTGTTTGCATATATAACCAAGGGTGAGTGTTATTTTCTACACAAAGGTTTATATAAGGCCATGTTATATGTCAAGAAGCAGTATGACACATCTATAATACAGCAAACTTCTTTTGAGGAAAAAAACTGAAATTGCTGCATAAATTAAAAACAGCTGCCATGTATTTAGTTTATATAAACGTCATGATTATCCAATGAATTCCGCAACATTACAAACATGCTAGGTGGTGTAATATAATTTATAAACCTAATACTTGGAATAAAAGGGTCCAGGAGCTATTTATGAAACCTATTCTATCCAACACTGATTCAGAGGTTTCTGGTTCACATTTACTTACAGTCTTAAAAATTGTAACACAAACCTTCCAAGTGGCTTCATTCCGTCTAAAGTAAGCAAATGTATTCTGAAACCATTGGTATACCTCGTTCAGCGTCAACTGTTTATTCTCGGATTCAATAATAGCCTAAAATAATACAAATCATTTTTTGTTTTAAATTTCATTTTGAAGCCCTTGAGGTGCAACCATTAATTGTCCTCATCAAAGGTAAACTAAGGGGAGCGTTCGCCTAGTGGTTAGGGTGTCTGCCTCTCAACCCAGGGATCATGGGTTCGAGCCCTAATCGGGTCATGACCATGTTTCTTCATATGACACTGGTACTGGTTGGTTCCAAGAAGCGGATTCGAAAGTGATTAATATAAGTTGCAAGAACTTGTTTTGCAATCAAGCTTAAATAAATATGTTTAAACCAAGTGTAAAATATAAATTTCATCTTGATTTTGATTTCTTAAATTTAAAATTTGTCATTGAATCGGATTTCAGATCAGGTTTTAGTCAAAGGTTTGACCTAAGTATCAATTCTCCATTTAGCTCAATAGGGAGAGCATCATGACATTCATGATCTAGGGGACACAGGTTTGATCCATGAGCCAGGTGAAATTTTTCCGTAACAATTATTCTTGAGCATCGTGTCTAATGGTCATTTTTCTCTGAATGCTGATTCAGAAATCAGACAAGATCTGTATTTAGTCACTTGAGAATATTGGTAATTAATATCAATTACACAAAAAAGTGTCAAAATTGGCTTAAAAACCAGACCAACAAACAGACACTACTTTTTATTACAACAAATCTGAATAGACTTACTCTGAAATCAAGAGTATTTGCGTTTTTCCCAGCTTATCTGGGGATACAAACAAAAACTTTTAAAGTTACAGTGCTTCGAAAATAAGCCCAACAGGTTGACTAATCTATTGTGACCAGAAGTGCACTGTGAAGCTATAACAGTAAGTTTGTTTGTCAGTTTGTTTGTATCAGGGCATTAGCTTGGAAAAACCCACATTTGCTGAGTTCTCGATAACATCTATTGTCAATGTGTTACATAAGATGCAAAAATTACATCATACCACATTTAGTTCACTAACCTGTCTAATCAATGATGCATACGTGAAAGGAGGTCTAACATCTGTGCTTTTATAAAAGTCTCGATTTCTTTGGATTTCTGAAAAGAAAACAAAACAGATCATATTATATGGAAACTGGCAATTGAAAACTCATTAAAGCTGTAAATGTATATTGAACGCGTTAATTAAAAACTGGAGATTCATTTTTCAAGTATTGATAGGATTATAATGTCAATGTCATATATGTCATGTAAGATCTGATGTGTGTAGCAGATATTTAGATTCTATTAAACCTTATGTATTTATTACGTAAAGAACATATCCTCTATATTCAGGATTAGCTTCAACAATATTTCAATCAAACATATAAACAATCAAATACAAGACCAGGATTGAGTAGAAGCTAAAAAATTTCTATAAGCTCTTTTTCCTTAGGAAATGTATTCTATTTCAAGGTAAAACTTAAAATCTACCAGAGAATACTTTCTTCTGCATTAAAATCTATAATGTATCTATTTCATTAACAGATTTGGTCATAAATTACACATATACAGTAAAAGGTCATACAACAACTTTTCAGCCGCTTTTCTGATGACGAATGAAATCATGTGCCCCTCAATCCATCATTTTACAGTCATGAGTGGGAACACAGTGCATGCTATCATTAATTTGAATATTGTGCTTTATATTTGTATGAAAATAAGTAGATTTGTACTAATTTAAAAATATTTATCATTTGCATTAAAATATGAAAACATACTGCTGTATAGATTGTTTTGCAAGAAAAAGAAAAGTAGCAATAAAAAAAAGTTTTTTTTCTTTTTCATGTGTTTACATAATTATGCATTGTGTAATATGCACAGTTATGTATTGTGTTGGCAACCTGCCAGTCCCTACCTGCTGATATTGGTAGATTGCACTTGTCTGAAACCCTGCGTCTCATTGGTCCAAGGCCCCCTGTGGGGGTGGTGGGCTGAGATTGAGATAAAAGGCTGCCTGGGCCGGCTGAGGTCATTGAAGATAGAGAAGACTGTGGAGGTATCACTAGGGGTGCAAGCCCAGAACCTGCTGTACTCAAGTGAGGCATTGTTGAGGACTTCTTTGGTGGAAGTACAGGTAGAGAGTTATTTCCTGCAGATAATGGCTTCACGGGACTTACAATACTGGATGGCACTTTAGGAGAACTGACCTGAAAAATGTAGCAAAAAAAAATGAAAACTGCTTCTATGCATATGTAATGGTATAGATCTGTTCACGGTATAAATATGTATCATGATCAAGATCTGTTCACAATCAAGATCTGTTCATGATCAAGATCTGTTCACAATCAAGATCTGTTCATGGTAAAGATCTGTTCATGATCAAGATCTGTTCACAATTAAGGTCTGTTCATGGTATAGATCTGTTCATTGTAAAGATCTGTTCCGATATAACTCTGTTCACCAATAAGGGCATTAATGATGGGTTAGTCTGTAGATAGAGCCACAGAACGGTTTTTTAAGTGTTCAAATCTGGGTCAGGCTGCGCATTTTACTCACCCTGTGATACATATACCTCATATCTCTTTTTAACTTTGATATTATCACATTAATAAAAAACTTCAACCACTGCATTCTTATTCGTTAACCACTGTATTTTACAGCAAAATACATCAACAATAGTAATTCTTTTCCAGTGTAATAGTCATTTAATTCATGTGATCATTCTTCTTATCACTCTTCTTATAAGAATCAATTAAAACAGAGAAGCTTTTTATTTTCAAGAAAGTTAACCAAGCTTTATTTAATGCAATTTTTTTTTAAAACTTTGACCAACTTACAGATTTTTCTGAGGCTTTCTGGTCTAAATGTTCCTGATTTTTTCTCTGAGGCTGCGTGTGAAGATGCTGCATCATAGCATGTAATAGTTCCTTTTCTCGTGTCAACTGAAAATATAAAATCATAGCATGTAAAAGTTACTCCTTCCCGTGTCAGCTATAACATGTTGGTTACCTCCCTTTAACTATTTATTTCTAACATAACATCAAAGTTTGTTTTGTCTTAAACTGTAGCCTTCTGGTGATTAATATGATCTACAAATACCAATACCACCAATACAGACCAAGACCGTGGTCTACATTGTAAGTTTTACACAATTTAAATCTGTTAAAGGAACTCCACTGAGGTTCATAGGCAAAACAACCTAAAATTTGATTTTTTTACATAGATCATGTGGGGCACTCAACACAGAGATATGCAAAATAAATACCCGGTAAGTAACATACTCAGAAATAATGAAAATCGTATTTTTGTGCTATTTGTAGATCATTTGTGCAATGCTTTTCAATATCCGGTTATTTCTCCTAATTGAAATATTTTTTCTTGACAACGCAGTGAACGAATGATGGCCCGACTGTTCCAAAACTGAAAGTTGGACAAGTCCATAAATGAAATTCAGCAGATTTACGGTTAATTTAAAATGAGGCATGATATAAAACTGTTCTCTGTTTATTTCTATAATCATGACGAGGCGTCACATTTTCATTTATATTCTTATCGGCATATATGCTAAATAAAGCTACACATACATTTTTTTCTCATAAACTGCCTCGTTAAAAGAGAAAGACACCTTTAATAAACGTTTATGATGTATGGAAAATGAATGTCATCTGACGTTATTAAAAAAATTGTTTAAATCAAAGTGTTATATGATAATAAACATATTTCCGGACAACAATTGGTTATAAATACGTCACCGACAAGACTTTCAGTGTCTGTTATATAATGCTATAAGAACAATAAACAAATCATCGTTACGCCTGTATAAATCATATATTTTTGAGACGTAATTAACATAAACACTGTGATTATATTGTGATATCTAATAAAATGCCATGTTTAAATATAGCAAAAAAAAATATTACAATTAATTAACATTTAGTTCCTTTTGAATTTAAAATTAATATGTTTTTTGTTTGTTTTTTCTTCTCTTTATGTCCCTCTAGTATGTGACCATCCTATATTTAAGATATCATTCTGCTTAATCTATCAGTCATCGTTAATTTATAGCCCAAAAGACAAATTTTCTTTAATTTAATTCTCTGGTTTATTCTAACCTATGAAAATTCATTTTCCTAAAAATATGTGTGACACTTGTTAATTTATAACAGATTACAAACTATTTGAATTATCTTAAAAATGAAACATTAAAACTAATAAATATTCAATGTTGAATATGTATAAATGGCTATGGCTAAGTTACATACATTATAGTGACGGTGATGGAAAGTTTAGCTACTGTACAAGTTAGTTTGCCCGACTAATTCAGGTTACTGGGGCAATAGAATACAGTTAAATGGTATCTGTTGATTGTTTATACATCGTGCATGGAACAATGACTTTGATTGTTTATCTATTTGCAACTCGTCTCCGCGTCTTCCTCCAGCACGTCAAACTGACATACGCGAACAAATAAAACAATTCAGGTGACAAATTAATTGCGGTAAGAATGAATTAAGTAACCATCTTATGTTTAACACTCCAGACGTATGAACTTTGTTTAGGGAAGTGCCGTCACTCTAAACAATTAAGCATATATTTTCCCGTTAATTTATTATCATATCCATAACACTTTAAAGACATGACATTCCAAAAATAAAATCATTTTGTATTAATTAAATGTGTTAAATGAACATCTTTAAAGTCAGCAAAATTAATAGACAAAAATATCAAGGCATAACTTGATGAGGTTTCATTATGATGCACTTACATAAAGAGCACCTTTAGATAAAAACCACCTCTCTTTAATATACTTATAATTATACTTAATACAAGATCTAAACAATAAAAGTCACCTTTCTTTACAGACCACCTGTGTAATGGTAACCTAAAGGTGTTACAAAAAATATTCAAATATGCAGAAATTTAACTTAACAAACATATCTTTCATTTCCAAATCTTGAAAAAAAAATATGAAAAAAAATATGTCTTCAATAAAATGGTACAGGCTACACAACATACTATAAAAGCAAGGAGTTGCTCTTTACATTTGCTATTTCACTTATTTTGTTATTAAACAACAAAAACAGTAACATATTATAAAACAATAATTTTATTCATGCTTTATTTACTGTCAACACACAACAACAATCCATCAACATTAACAACAATAACAACCTGTTTACACTTATTCTGATATTTTTTTCAGTCAAAATTTTGTCAGAACATTTCATTTTGTTGTTGTTAACATGCATGTTAAAATGAGAATCATCATTATAAAACATGACCTGTCAGGGACAGCATTTAACTACATTAGTGCACAAACCTTGCAAATATTACTATTAAAAATGTTTTTACAGCTGAATGGTCTACAATTTTTGTACCCAACCTATATTAAGAGAAACCAAGCAGGGGAGAGCAGTGGTACATAAGTTCAACAGCAGTTACTGTCCTTTAAAATAATTTTTTTATTGATGAATCAAAGCTAAATAATTTTAATTTCAGGTTTATTTCCTTAACAACTGTTAATAAAGAGAAACTATTCTTGTTTCTAAATTAATAAAAAAAGTTTAAAGATGATTCATAAAGATTGAATACACCATCCCATTATTCGTCCACAAATATTCAATGAATTTTGACAACTAATCCTAATCATTATAGGGACTTTGTTTCTTTTGTTTTATTTCAAAGAATAGAAACTATTTTAGCTAAATTACAAAACCACAAACAATCATAGACTTTACAGGGAGCATCTGATCAGATAGATATTCAGTCAAGGAAGTCTTTTTTTCTTCTTTTAAAAATGAAATGATACGTCCGATTAAAATGATGATAAAGGGAGGTAATTCAGTCAGAAAAAAAAAGTTCATGATAATAATTGTAATCTTTTTAGCACTACACTCATGTTAATTATAAATGGACCTATGTTATACAAGTATAGTCAGGGCGGAAATGTATCTCTATGCAGTCTTACCGAACAGTATACTGTTGGCTTCTCAATGCTATTACTTACTTAAATACTGAAATTCCTTAACTATTGAAATTCCGTAACCATTTCCACGCTAAATATCTTAAATGGACCTTTCCATCTGTTTAATACTGACAAAACTATCTGTCAATATTAGCGACGATTTTTTAAATAAACACAAACTGAACAGCGATAAATGTAAATCAGGATCAGGTGGAATAGATGTGCTGACTGTCCTTAGTCTGCACTGGTGGCATGGGAAGAATTTGTCCCTGCTAACAGGTAATGTTGAATTCCCAATTAAATGTAGCTCTAGTTCATTGTTCATATTTAGTGGGCTAAGGGCAAGGAAAGTTTATTGAACTGATAAAATGCAAAAGTTATGACATGAATTTAAATTTTATACACTTTTTGTGACTAACACAGCTTTTATTATTATGATATGGGAAATGGATGTAATGCAAACATATAAAACATGTTGTAAGAAACTTTATTTTTTACAAGAACAAAACTAGATAGCCAACAAAATTTAGCGACAAAAAAATCCTTTGAAGATTGCCAACAAAGACGATTTTAACTTATGACAAGCATGCTTTCGACCAAATGCATACATAGCCTGTTTACAAGTTAACTGTACAAGAACATAAATTATTTATTTACAATACTTCAATAAAAATTGAACAACAAAAATAAAATCTGCAGAAAAACATATTGCCGGACATGCAATCTTGCGTTAAAGTGATCACAGAAAACATGCTCGTACACGACACAATGCTTCGACATGCCGTCTCGAGTCATGAGGAACTTGCCGAATATCGTCAATCCGTCACGAACATCGTAAAAAATTCATAAAACCGCTGTCATCGCTTACATATTTACCATATTTATTCTGCTAATACATTACCATATATATGAGCAAAACTGTCCTATTGCCTTATGAATAATTATTATAGTTAAACCAGTTATAAGACAACTCGATCCCTGACGAAAAAAAAAAATCTACGAGATTGGTTGAATGATTATTTATAGAAGTCTGGATTTATAGTTAATTATAATGTTAATATATTGACACTGTCATAAACCATTGTTTTAAATACCTACAGGTGTCAACTTAGGATATTAAAGATAGACATATTTTTACATCAACAGGAAATATTTATAAAACATAAATCTCTGTCATATTAAAATTTAATAAACCTCTAAATTGTATTAATTTTAAGAATTTTGAATTTTAATTTATTATTTTGGCCATGTTAGAACAAAATATTAAGATACATGAAAATTTTAATATTTTTGACATCAACAAAGGCCAAGTTATTTTGGTTTTCTTATATTTCTTATATTTTCTTCTGATCTTTTTTTTTCAACCTTCAAACAGTTAATTTACTATGATATATAATATATTCATGTAAACATCAGAAATATATGAAATGTTCACTATTATATCTAGACTGTCACCTCAATGTTTTATTTCAATATAAATACAGTTAAACTAAAAGTGCTCAAAGTGTTGTTTGACAGTAAATTTGTTTTCAAATGTAATTATATTAAAATACAAGTATATTGATTTTCAACAAAAAATATGTACTTTTTATTTACTTATATAAATTTTCTTTTATTTAATTCTATATGTGGAATTAAACATTTATCATAAAATTGATTAATTGTAAGCCTATCTTTTAAACTGTTTCAGATCAAATGTCTTTACAAATAAATGCTGAATATGGTAAAAATAGACTTTTCAGAACTATTTTCTTAATAGCTAATATGCACATTCAATGTAATTTTAGTAATTAATTAAGTCACCACTTTAGATAATAAATACTATTTGCTGGCAAGACTGGTAACATGCCCAGGGTCCGTACTCTCAGTGCCTGAAAGGGCTGATGGACTCTCATTAAGCATAGTCAACCAACCAGTATCATAATGCTTGTTAAATACATGTATTCTGGGAATAAAGTCATAAAAGTATTATTATATCACCCCTTTACTGACTCTTGGCTTGCTGGGGGTTGGGAAAATAACAAAATTCTATACATGCAACCAGTGCAAACAAAGATTAGCAGGCACATCCGACTTTTCAGTCAGTATAAATATATTTTGAAATTTTCCCTAAAAATGATGAATGGTTTTGTCCAGACCGAAAGATGGACAAGTCCATTTAAGATATTGAGCAGGTTAAGCAGGTTAAGTTGTAAGGAATAAAAGTTATACAATAATTCATGTAATCTTTAACTTAACTTAATAAACATTATTTGAACTTCAAAATTGTTTGAATTTCATTAATTCAAGGTAATATTAATTAATTCTTTGTGTTAACATGGTTCTCCGACTATATCTTGATTTCTTCTAGTTAAAAGGACCTTGTTAGAAATAAGCTTTACCTTGAAACCATAGATCATTTTAAATTTGTTTTTATATTCTGTCTATGTTTTTAGTTATATTACTTTGACAATGCTGCTCTTCCTTTTTATATTTTCAAACATTTCTTCTTAATTAGATAAAAACAACAATAAAAATATGCTATGAGTGTTTAAAGACAATATGATATGTATGCTCCAATTATTTATATGGTATGCCCTAGTTATTATTTTATCTGAAACAATACAGGTTTGTTCTACGTGTCTCAACTTAGCACAGTCTATGTTTTATTATTATCATTTGTTTTTTAATCCACAAAATGCTATTTTATTGTTAAAATTGTAACTTATTTCTTGAAATTTGTTGTTTATTGTCATATAATTGTGATCTATGATGCTGCAGAAGTCAATTTAAATAAATCAACCTAAAGTTCAAATATTGAACCTAAAGTTTACAATGAAACCCAAAGTTCTAAATTCTACACAAACAATAAACCAAAAACCTTTCAAGGAAATACTGAAAGTCACATGGGATTAAGCATTGTGTAGTGTTCTAGAAGGTAAACCTAGTGACTTTTAACATTAGAAAATCCATTAATCACCTGTTAATGTGTGTACATTTACTCTGTGGCTTATATAAATCATTCATTATGTTTTCTTCTTTGACAGAATTAAAATTCTGATAAAATTCATTTTGATTTACAACTCTATATATAGATGCACTGTTTATTTCAACTGTTCTACAAGTTGATAATCATTTGTTTTACTGTGTCATAAAAATCAAGAAAAAAAAACTTTGACACCCCCCCCCCCCCCCCCAAAAAAAAAACCCAGAAAAAATAGAATAAATTGAACACATGATGTCATTTCCTAAGTATGTATAATTATATTGTAAGTGTAATGGTAAAATAAATTTTTAGTTGTCCACTTAGTGAGGGTAATTAAAGAAGTACTTCAAAATTTCAAATTCTGTAAGTTTTTGATCTGGTACATTCCAGTAATTAATATACTCTTTCCCTGTCTAAAAATATCCCTCCTCACTGACTTTTCTCAAAAAAACTAAATTCTTTCATACAATCTGATCATTGTCCACTGTCTACAACTCCTTCGGGAGTTTAACAGAAATATTAGATAGACAGACATTAGTAACTAAAAAACCTGGTACCATTTTCAGTTATTAATTTGTACCTTTTCAACACATGGGAATAAGTTACATTTCTCAAACCACTAGCTAAAACAAAATTTAGTGGTTCGGTACCTACCTGTATTTCTAACTGCGAGACAATCTGCATCTGTACCCTGGCTTGTGCTGTGTTCTTGTCATCAAGCGTGTGCTCGCCACATAAATGCCTGAAAACATAGTAATTTACCATAGACAAGTCATACAAAGTCTGAAACCCAAAATAGCATATGCATCTTGATAAATCCTGGCCCACTTGGGATTCAAACTAGCAACCACCCACTTGCAAGCAAATGAATAATGCTGCCCCACTTGGGATTCAAACTAGCAACCATTCACTTGCAAGCAAATGAATAATCCTGCCCAACTTGGGATTCAAACTCCCAACCACTTGCTTGTAAGCGAATTTGGTGATGTTGTTTTATAAACCAATGAGCCAAATTTTAATTCCGTGATGCAAAATGTCAGTGTTTGTACTTGTGGTTATCAAGGTAGGGTGCACTATTATCTTATATAACTTGAACAAGTCGTACAAACATTCACCTATCAGCCTCCATTCACCCAGTTGTTTTGTAAACTCTTGTTTTCCAATATCAAAATGTTTTCCAATATCTTAGTACATGTAACAGAAATGAAAGCAATAAAAACATATGAGCCGTGTCATGACAAAACCAACATAGTGGGTTTGCGACCAGCATGGATCCAGACCAGCCTGCGCATCCGCGCAGTCTGATCAGGATCCATGCTGTTCGCTTACAAACCCTATTACAAGTAGAGAAACTGATAGCGAACAGCATGGATCCTGATCAGACTGGGATCCGCGCAGTCTGGTCTGGATCCATGCTGGTCGCAAACCCACTATGTTGGTTTTGTCATGACACGGCTCAATTATGTTTATTCAGATTCTCCTGTAAGTATGCACTTAAATCAAGGTCAATGAATCGCACATCGTAACAAAAACAATACTTATTATACTATCAATTGCGATACACTGTAGTATCTTTTATTTTATTTCTGTTTAGTTTGTTTTTATGTTATTTCTTTCTCTTATTTATTTGGATATATTTGATTTGCGCTAAATATTTGTATTAAAAGAGTCATTTTTATCTGAAATACACCTTATTTATTACTTGCTTTTCAGTGGTTTATAGAATATCAGTGAATATATAAAACGGATATTTCACTGTTTGAAACAGAGAAATTATCAATTTGATATTTTTCACTGTTTTAAATTTAAGCCCGTTACGTTGTTTCAGTGAAATACTAGCATGTATAGTACTGGAAACCAACTGAACGATGTGACGTCGTAAATGAGGTCGCGGTGTATTATTATTTGGCGCGCTTTTCATTCAGTATTAGGCTAAAATGTCTTTTTAAACATTTCTTTGCATATAATAAAAAGAAAATTTGTTTAGTGTAAAATCACAATATATTTCACCTTGTGAACACCAAAAGTTCATATATCACGAGTGGCTGTGCCACTCGTGAAATATACCTTTTGATGCTCACACGGTGAAATATATTCCGATCTTACAGTGAACTAAACAAAATATCCTCTATATATCCTACATGGATAGATAAAAAAAATCAATTTTCATAAAAAAACTTCATTTGTATAATATCACTAAAAAATGTAGTACCACAGGAAAAAAACTATGCCTCCACAGAGAAAAGCCTTAATATAATATAGATCAACCTGAATTTTAATATAATATGTCAATTATTCCTTTCCACCAAATATAAATATCATAAAGTACATATATTAAAATACATATATTTCACAGAAAAGATGATGGTAATTTTTCTTCAAATTTGTGTCACATATTGATGATAAATCATGACAGATGTTGACATTATGCTAAATTAGTAAGTACGCTCGATTGCGATACACACCGTACATAAAGTGTATTTTATTTGTATGTTAAATATTACACTAATAAATTAATATTAGCAACCTCCCATCATAAACATCAAGTTTGCATTCAATTTGCATATAGTACCAATTTAATGACACATTAAGGTGTTACAACAATATCGTAAAGTATCAAATCAAACATTAATTGGCGAAAGATTGTATTCATTTGAACATAAATTTGTTAACGGCATATTTCAGGTGTGAAAGTGATATAATTATGTGAAATAAAATACAATGTAGTTTCTTTAATTCAAATGCAATAAGATTCTGCAGTTACGTAAAGATTTTAAAAGGTTACCTAAACGATCACCGTAAAAAAATGAATATTCCTTTTTTTTGTGTACAGCATAAATTTAAATATTATTTATTCAAGACGTCCTTCCTGAATAATATGTTAGAATCTCTTAATTAATATGAATGCCTAAAGAAAATCAAAATCAGTCGCTTTTCACATAGAACTCCAATTCTTTTCACTAAAATTTTGGAAACAATTATGAGGGACTAAATTAAATGGCGTATGACATATTGTTGGTCAAGTAATCAAAGCATTATGTTGTACACCTAGAATTCTTCTTAACAGACACATGCATCATTATTAATTTTATGAATATGAGAAAATGTAAGATACATTGTTTTCATTGCTTGTATTTTTTGTTATTTGTCTAATCTTACTTTGTAATGCTAAATTGAAGCTTACATAGTAATGCTAAGTTGAAACTTACTTAGTAATGCTAAATTGAAGCTTTCTTGGTAATGCTAGATTTTTTTTAGTTTACTTGGTAATGCTAGATCAAAGATTAATTTGTAATGCTAAATTAAAGAATAATTTGTAAGACTCAAATTTGTGGCTTACTTGGTCAAACTATGTAAAAGCTTACTTGGTAATGTTAAATTGCAGTTTGCTAGGTAAAAAAATGCTATGCTAAACTGAATCTTGCCTGGCAATGCTAAATTGTGTGGCTCACTTACTAATACAAAAATTTATAGCTTACTCTGTGTTTTTAAATTTAAGATTAATCAGTAATGCTAAATTGTAGATTTACTGGTAGACTTACTGGTAAAGCTGAATTGAAGTTTGCTATGTATAAACATGTAATGCTAAATTGAAGAAAACATGGTAATGCGAAAATTTCTAGCTTACTTGGCATAGCTAAATTGTATACTAATTGGTAAAGCTACATTTTGTAGCTTACTTGGTAATTCTAAATTGAAGTTTCCCTGAAGCCTAATTTTGTAGCTATTAGCCTATATTGATGTTTACTTGGTAATGTTTTGTTTGTTTGTTTGATTGGGTTTTACGTCACACCGACACAGTATAGTTCATATGGCAACGTTCCAGCTTTACTGGTGGAGGAAGATCTCAGGTGCCCTTCTGTGCATTAATTCAGGCATGAACGGGCAACTGAGTAGAACCACGCATGTTCCATAAGCTAGGTGGATAGCTTCCTCACATGAAAGAATCCAAAGTCCCTGTCAGGATTCGAACCCACAGCGGTGAGGGGCAAATGGTTTGAAGTCAACAGCCTTAACCACTCGGCCATGGACGCCCCTACTTGCTTATGCTAAATTGTAGCATACTTATGGTAAATTATAGCTTACTTGGTAAATGAAGTCATGTCGCTGCACTCTGTATCACAACCAGGCCATTTACACACCCCATGTCTATACAATGGACTTAGTCCTTCCTCAGATTTTATGCTAACACCTGACTGTCCAATCATAGCACCTGTTACACAATACAACAGATTAATTTGACCAATCAAAACATCTGATACATCTGCAAATAATTATGCTGATTAATGGATCAACAAAATACCCTTAGTTGACATTACAACAAAATCATTATATGTAACACTTTGTCTAAATAGTCCATTCATATTTGTTTTATGCTGTTTTTAGCAATATAAAGTTCATTTACTTCTTAAATTGCCATCTGCCTAGAGCTTTTACGTCAAAAACGAGCATGTGTTGGCACAATGACCTTATATGTTAATGCTTTTTGTATTGGCATAGTGACCTCATGACCACAACAATCAAATATACGAATGCTTTAAGTGTTGCCAAAGCGACCTTATATATGAATGTTCCTTGTATTGCTCCAATGGCCTAATGTATTCATAAAATTCAATGAAATCAGCCAACACACATCTCCTTCAAACTATAAACAATCCCTGCATAAATAATATAGCACAATGGGTAAGTTACTATTTTTAATTTACTATCATCAAGGCAGTCTTGACACAACAAAAAGAGTTAAGCTAAATTTTGAATATCTACTTCCAACAATATCATACATGTAGCCTTTACCCTGTGTCCACATATTTCAACCACAAGGGCATTTCAATGTGTCCACATAATCTCATATTGTAATACGCAACCAATTATCAACAGAGTGCCTCTAATCAAAAATTTGAATTTGACATGGTCACATGGTCATCAGCATTAACCATAGCTCATACTAAAAACATCAAAACCAACCTAAGGAGAAAAAATTTAACCAAAGAGAAAAAATTAACAAAACAAACCTAAAGAGAAGGAATCCTGGGTAACACCGTTCAATCCTAGAAAAGATCCCTGAACTAATGGATTCACACCAAGTCCACTCCCGTTCATGGCCCCTAAATTGGTCCCATTAGGAAGGGCCGCCTTGAGATGGTCGTCATTGGCTACCTGAGATGATGCTAGTTCTTTCCAAACCTGGTGCATGTCTGCTTGTGACATCATACCTGGAGATATACAGACGCAACATGTAAAATCAATGACGGTGACAGACTGAGTGCCATACAAGAAATTACTCAGAACATTTCATGTAATGATAGTTTTATAACAATTACTTAATGTGATAGTAGGTTTTCAAACAATAGCTGTGAAATTGACATATTTCATAACTAGAAGCTATATTAAATATGATACATGTTTATATGCCAATGAAAATTGTGAACATTTTTCCACATTATTATATTACTGTATTATAAAGAACAACAAGAGATTCTAACAGGCCTTTAATTGCTCACCTGGATGAAATCTGTAACTTTTATTTTTATTGCAAGAGGCAAAGATTTTTCCTTGATCTATATACATGTATGTTACTGAGTTATGTGTGTGGTCTCTCATTTGAACAAAACAATTTACTCATGTTCAAATTTAAATCAGATATTGTTAAAGCAATATATTCTGACAAAGTTTGATTAAGATCCAATCAAACTGTAACCTGTATAATGTTAATAGCCAAATAGTGCAGGCAATGGACAACTGATTGATCTTATTAGCCATCCTTTAGCACCACGTGGTCAGGTGAGCTAAAAATAAATGAGTTTATAAATTCATGAAATTATAACAACTACCACACAGACAACCAAGGGGAATAATTCAGGACAAATTCTTGCTGCAGCTGTAGCTTCGACACCTTATATATGAGCCGCGCCACAACAAAACCAACATAATGGGTTTGCATCCGAGCAGTCTGATCAGGATCCAAGCTGTTCGCTTACAAACCCTATTACAAGTAGAGAAACTGATAGCGAACAGCATGGATCCTGATCAGACTGCGAGACTGCGCGGATGCGCAGACTGGTCTGGATCCATGCTGGTGGCAAAGCCATTATGTTGATTTTGTCATGACGCGGCTCATATAATAATGACACCTAAGTTATAAAGAAAAAGTTAAGAGTGAATAGCTTCAGTGGTTAATGATATGAAGTGTTAGATGATAAAATCTCCAACCTTTGCTAATTGGCATTTTAAACATGAAATTGCTCCGAAATGTTTACCATAATAAATTTTATATATTTAAGATATTGTGACATTTCAATAGATTTATGACACTAGCTCCTTAGATTTTCATATAAACGAATGTTCCTTTTTAGCCAGCATTATTTAGCATCAGATCAAAGTTAAAAAGATAAGTTTTTTTTTTCTTAGAATTTTTTTCTTTACATAGACTATGTGCGATGAGATGTTGTCAATCAAATGCAATTCATTGTCTTATATAAATTACAAAAATGCACATCAGATATTTAAAGTCCCATCTGTTACTGTTGTTTTTGTGCAGCACAATCCTTTTGTCTTTATTTGGTTATCTAAACATATCTACACAGCATTAAATATATATCGGAAACTAAGATCTTATATGATGAAATCAGGAAAAAGTAGAGCAACCTCATGGCATAGTTATTGAAGTTGTTAAACTTGCTGTACTCTATAATGTAGTAAACAAGTATACAAGGTTTATCAAATATACAAAATCTATGTAATAGAAAGAGCACCGAAACACGAGGCTATCTGATTTGTACGAGGGGGCGTAGCCCCGAGTATAAATCAGATTGCCGAGTGTTTGGGTGTTCTTTCTCTTTTGTATCATAGTCAAACATAAAAACACGTTCCCTATTGTCACAATTGTAAACCCCGGGAAAAAGTAACCAATGATCGAGCATCTGAATATGATATTTCTGCCGCTTTCCCTTTCTCTGCCGTCACAATATGTAAACCCCAGCAAAAATGAGCCAATCAACGGGCATGATCTGGAGTACGGGTAACTGATACCTGCACTCCAGTTACCGCACTGTGCATGTATATGTATACGATTTAACTCTGACACTTTTTCAACAGAAAGGTCCCCAAACTATGATACAAGTGATTTATGGTTCAAAGGATCTTTCCTAACAAAATAACAACAATAATAATTATGTCACTTATTAAAGCATAACAAACATTTTTTATGGAAACTGCCTGAACATATGTTTCAGAAAAACAAAAACAAACAAGAGATGTCAGCAGGACAGCATGCTCTCTCAGTGCTTGATAGTAAAACAAGAGCTTGGATAATCTAAGTTTAAAAAGGGCCATAATTCTGTCAAAATCCATAGTACAGTAATGGACCTTGGATAGTGACCTCCTACTTTGCTAGCAAATAAGTGTGTGGAATTTCAATCCATTCCCCTCGTAGTTTTGGAAATACAACTTGCATTCAAAAATTTAACCAAAGTGTGATGCCGTTGCTGGGGTGAGTACAATAGCTCTGCCTCTCCCTATTGAATAGGCTGAGCATGAATTTCAAAGGACACATCCTGGAAGCCTACTTTACTGTAGAACCACAACCTTCTATCAACTAGCTAGATGGCTTTCTCACATAAAAGTATCCAAAGTACCTGACAGGTTTCAAAAACCCTCAGAAATGGATGGGTATTTAATTTAACATAGAAATCTATAATACTTAAAATCAACAGCTCTAAATTCAAAACATGACAGGTCTGTTTCACAAACTCATTAAGGAAATGGTCAAATATGTCACAGGGTGAGAAAAATGTGCAGCCTGACCAGGAGTCGAACCTGGGTTCCTTGGAATACAATTCAGCGGCTATACCAACTGAGCTATCCGGGTGCATACACATCTAAATAAATAACTAAATAATGAACAGTTATGGAACATAAAATATAATTTACATTAATATTCTGATGACTTTACATTTAAAAATCATGATCTACATTAATAACTGCTTTGTAAAAAAAATGTAAAAATATATATCAAAACAAAAATGATTATATTTCTAGATAAACTGTAAAGCAAAATATGCCAACTCACTGCCAAAAAACAACAAGATTTAAATCCCCAGATCAAATGGCTGTCAACAAAAGGTAATCAAATTGATCTGGTTTTATGTATCAAATAAAATACATACAATAATATTGGTATATACCCATGTATATCTAAAACCTTGTAACTATAAGTAAATAAACACCATGGTCTTTTTTCACAGTTTGCTTTTGTTCAATAAGTACGAAATAAAAAGCCTTCTGTTAAGCTGACCCTGTGACAGACCTTTGTTTTCACTTCTACATTCTGCCTAATTTATCTGTTGTTATTTTCGTTCTTGTCTAAACAATACAATGTTTATATTCACTTACAAATGTCACAATTTATTTAGGTCAGAGCAAATTTTAAAATAATCTTATTTTGTATGTACAATGTATATGAAAATTTCTTCAACAGACATAAAAGATTATAAAAATTTCATAACTTTATTTTAGATCAAGCTGTGAGGTATAATTAAAAACCTTCCATTCAAAAGCCAGCTATAACAGGAAACAAGGTTTTGAACCTATAATCTATAGTAGGAAAACAAGAGCTTCTTTTCCTTCTATAGCACTCACTCTGAGGGGCCATTTTAGGGGCTGCTTCCCCACAGAAAAATTCTTTAAAACCATGCAGGTTTCCCTACAATTAAATTGACATCAAGATTTTCTTCCCCTTTTACAAAAATACCATATTATTTTCCCCCAAAATTAAGGGAAGGGCATGCTTCCTAAACCTGTGAATAAAACAAGCAATTATCATAGTATTGCAAGCAATCCATAAGTCCCCTACCGGTTAGAACCCCATCAACATTCTGAAGGGCCATTCACTAATGTTTCAAGTTTTCTCTATTTTAAGTAATTTGTTGGAAAAGTTCTTTAAAAGTGATCACAGGAAACAGTTTTTATGAACAGACAGACAGACGGACTGAAGGACACTCTAAAGTTAATATTTGAAACATCCCTGTTACCAAAATATAACATTTTAAAAGCAAAATTCTTAAACAGGAGATAACTCTTGAATTAAAGATGCAATTTCATAAAAAAATTTCAGCTCTTTTTGACTAATCACAAATATTGTTATATTTGCCATGATTTAAGCCTATTTGTTGCCAAGGCAACTGATATTTTTTCAAAATAGGAAGAACAGATAACACATGCATAATCTCAAGACCGCCATCTACCCATATGTCAAGTTTACTAAAAATATTTCCAGTACTTTTTGAGTTATCACTGGATTCAGTTTATGTGTAAAATTTGCCATATTTTCAGTCTATGTGTTGCCATAGCAACCAGAATTTTCAACATAGAAAGAAAAGAAAAAGACGTGCATAATCTCAAAACTGCCATCTACCCATATGTCAAGTTTCATAAAAATATTTCCAGTTCTTTTTGCTTTATCACTGGATCCAGTTTATGTGTAAAATTTGCCATATTTTCAGCCTATTTGTTGCCATAGCAACCAGAATTTTCAATATAGGAAGAAAAGAAAAAGACGTGCATAATCTCAAGACTGCCATCTACCCATATGTCAAGTTGCATAAAAATATTTCCAGTACTTTTTGCGTTATCACTTGATCCAGTTTATTTGTAAATTTTGCCATATTTTCAGCCTATTTGTTGCCATAGCAACCAGAATTTTCAATATAGGAAGAAAAGAAAAAGACGTGCATAATCTCAAGACTGCCATCTACCCATATGTCAAGTTTCATAAAAATATTTCCAGTACTTTTTGCGTTATCACTGGATCCAGTTTATGTGTAAAATTTGCCATATTTTCAGCCTATTTGTTGCCATAGCAACCAGAATTTTCAACATAGGAAGAAAAGAAAAAGACGTGCATAATTTCCATACTGCCATCTATCCATATACCAAGTTTCATAAAAATATTTTCAGTACTTTTCAAGTTATCGCGGGATCCAGTTTTGTGGACGGACGGACTGACGGACTGACAGACGGACGGACAGACGGACTAATAACAACAAACCCTTGAAGATTCATTTCTCTGAATAAATCATAAACTGTCTCAAATGAAGGTTGGAGAAAATAACACAATATTTTTTAAGTGAGTTAAACTAGCAGGACCTTAACCTGCTGGATTTCCTTATTAGACTGGTCCAGCTAACTTTTTTAGAACTGTTCATTATCAATTTTT